GAGGCTCTGCAATTAATCAGCTTGAAGCAGACGGTCTCTAGGGATAGCCCCAGGCCATATGTTCTCATAGAGTTCCTTTTTCTGCACCAGAAGGAAGTGACTGTCCCTGAGTCATCCCATTGCCAGACCCAAACAACAGTATGTAAAACTCATCCTAATCCTCAGCTGGAGCTTTTGATCCTGACTGAAGTTAGCCTGCTTTTATTTGCATCTCCAATGAGCCTCTAACAAGAGACACTGCATAGGTCTAAACCCTGGGCCATAATTGCTCAGTTCCATCTATGCCTGGAACTCCCACAAAGAATGTATAGCTATAGGATACCAGGAACAATGTCACCAGCACTTCTTGATGGACATGATTATCATTGAAGGCACAAGTACAACCTATATCTCCTACCATGTTGCAAATATGTTGATGAGATCCAAAATCTACAGCAACAGAAATGTGCAAAAGGCATTGATCTGATGATTTGCTGCATTCACTGGGATTTTCAAGTGACAAAGAAGATGCATTTAATGCAGCTCTTCTGAATTTCTTTTGATATTTCCAATCTCTCTCTCTCACACACACACACATACACACAAACACACACACACACACACACAAGCGGTGCAATGAGATGTACAGACAACAGAGGATAGGCAACAGAAAGCTATGGGATGTGCTGCAGGCCCAAGTGAGCACGTGTATAGGTTATTTTGTGAAAATAAAAGAGCAATTATTTGAGAACCCTGAGAAGCTTTGGAGAAGCCAGTTCCTACCTCACAAAGCTACTAGCCCTGGGGGCTGATTAATTTCTCATGCTACAATCCCAGCCCCTGAAGCAGAGTATGAAGGGCAGCTCCCTGCCCTGCAAAAGGAATTATGAGCCACATCACTGTATGAAGAAGAGTAACCCCATGGGAGGCATCTCTTTCTAGATACCAATGTGGTTCCTAACTGTAAAGCATCCAAGTTTTTCCTAAATATAGGAACACTAATCTCTCTTGTCTTCTTCGCAGCCCACAGGAGAACTTCCCTGGATCTGCTGCTGATAGAAGAAAAGGAGAAAATCACACGTCCCTAACTTGGAAGTCTCACTTGGTGCCAAGGATTTTCCTTCTCTACTTAAAGGCTGTAGTCCAAAGGCAAAAGGACAAACTTCTCATGAATGACATTCTGGGCCAGCCATACAATATAAGTGTGACATCAGATGGGTGAAGCCAATAGGCTTGCAGTATGCAAATTGCCCAAAGGTGACTGTACATGCCCCATTAAGTTGCACATTACCATGGGTGGGAATCTGCAAGGTGTGAAGGGACAGTGGCTCTTTCAGGTAGTCAGCAAAGAGTCTGTTTGGGAAGGGAGTGGGAAATGAGGTGAGCACACTTGCAGAGTGGGAAGTGGGAGTAAGATAGATGGGTGGCCACAGAGAACCGTGTGGGAGAGAAGAGCAAGTCTATGTCACGCATTAGGGGCTGGGGTTTCTAGCAAGCACAGAGGAGACCATGGTTGTGTGCAAGGAGGTCTGAGAGCAGGCAGGTGTTGGGGGAAGGCATTAGAAGAATATCTTCTGCAAGCAATCAGAGCCTACACTGACAAGCATGTGACTAAGCTGAGCAGCAGTCAGATTGCATGAAGATGTAGATGCAGATTGTGATTAGAGGTAACAGGGAAGAGATGAGAAGAAACCTAGGATGCATCTCTGACACCTCCCACTCAGAGCAGAGAGCCCCCTTTGCCAGCTCTATGGGGTGCAGCTTAGGGCCTCCCCACAAGCAATGAGAAGTGGAGTGCAGAGCTCTATGCAGTCCCACCATAACGCTATAGTGGGACTGTATATCACTCTGCAGTCCACTATTCATTGCCCAATTCATCTCCCACTGCACCTGCCCTCACAATACATGTGCCTCCCCACAACACATTGCTGTCATGCCAGTAGGCTCAGCCAGTGCCAACCTGCCTTATGCGCTGGGCCTGTCAAAGTAGGTCTCAATGACACAGTGTCTCTCTGCACTAGCACTGGCATGGGCAGAACTGCACCATATCCTCCCATTCTAATATTATAAAAGCCTAAGTCTGTTGGTCTGTTTGTCTGTCCCTAACTTTTATTCACATTCTGATTGACTGACGGAAACAGCCAATCAGAGTGCTCCAAGCGTGGGAGAGCATCATCATGATGCTGAAGCCACGCCAAGGACTGGACAGAGGGTGGGGGAGCCGAGGCCAGCAACATTGGCCTCAGCTCCCCCGCCCCAGTCCCTGCAAGATGGAGAACAGCAGCAGCATGGAGTGTTAGGTGGCGGCACAACATCCCAGCCCCCTCTGCCCCTGTCATTCTGGATGGGCAATTGGCTAGTATTCTTCATATCAACAAGGCCTTTCCAAGGTCCTTGACTGGCCAAATAATGCTCTCCTCTCTAGTGCTGAATGCAGCATGCCCAATATGCTTCTGCAGCACAGGGCAGAATGCATAGGGTTACCATTTGTCTGGGTTTTCCCAGACATGTCCTCTTTTTTGGGCCCCTGTGCTGCATACAGGGGGTGTTTTAAAATAAGAGCAAATGTCTGGGTTTTCTGCTCTCCCGGGCTGGCTGGCTGGGGCTGGGAGCAGCAGGCAAGGTGATTGGCTGTTGGGGGTCATGTGCTCTCCATATCAGATAAAGAGACAGAGAGAGAGAAAGAGACAGAGTGTTTGTGTGTGAGAGCGAGCAAGCAAGTGGGCGGGTGCGCATGCAATGTGGGAGCTGCTTGGGCAGCAGGGCTGGGGGAGGCAGAGGTCTGTGGGTCGGGAGTGAGGGGTATCAGCAGGGCTGGGGTGGCAGAGACTGCAGGTCCAGAATGCAGGACACTGGCAGGGCTGGGGGAGCAGGGGCTGCGGGTCAGGAGTGAGGGGTACTGGCAGGGCTGGGGGGACAGAGGCTGAGGATCCAGACTGCAGGACACTGGCAGGGCGGGAGGGGCAGGGCAAGGGGCTACAGGTTTGGAGTGAGGGGCACCAGCAGGGCTGGGGGGCAGAGGGCTGCAGGTCTGAAGTGAAGGGCACCATCAGAGGGGCAGGGGCTGTGAGTAGGGAGTGAGGGGCGCTGCCAGAGCTGGGCGGAGGGCAGAGGGCTGCAGATCAGGAGTGAGGGGCCTGGGTGACAGGACGGGTGACTGTGGGTTGGGCATGCAGGGCACTGGCAGTGCCAGGCAGTTGCGGGTCGGGAGTGAAGGGAACCAGCAAGGGGTGGGGGGCAGGGTACTGCTGTTTGGGAGTGAGGGGCACTGGTAAGGCTGGGGTCAGTGGATCCAGAGTGGGGGGCAGCAGCAGGGCTGGGGGTTGTGGCTTGTCAGTGAGGGGCAATAGAATGGGCAGGGGCAGGACACCAGCATGTCATTGTCCCACCCTCCCCCAACATGATATCCCTCCCCCCACCCCTGTGACAGGTGTCCTCTTTTTTGGACCTGGAAATATGGTAACCCTAAGGATATGAGAAGCCTACATAGGACTCTGCAGGGATCCAGCTTTCCAGAGTGCCAATGGGCAGGGTGACTTTTGCCTGAGCAAAGAGGTAAGGGTGGGACTGATGGATGTACCTCCAGAGGTACAGATGTACCTGTGGGCTCTTCTCTTTCCTGGAGAAGCCCTGCCCCAGTGCTGAGTCTTCCTGATCAGCCACTGCCTGGTTTCACAATCAAGGAGAAAGACCCTGCACCTCCGGATGCCAAGCCATGGTCTTTCAGGCTCAGTGAAACCAAGAACATTCATTCCATGGAGCATATTAGATAAGAAGACGACAGGGCTAACCTAGGTCTAAATGCACTTGGGATTTCTCTTCCCCTCTTCCCTCAGCTCCTTTTGTTCTTATGAATGATAAAGGATGTCCTTAAAAGGATAAAACTGCTGCTGCCTGTCTCCTGTGTGACAGGGTGAGAAGGCAGCAGCTGTGGATGGCCTTGGTGGGAAAGGCTGCAAAAGCAGAGAAGGAGGGGGATGAGGATGGGAGGGTTGTGAGGAGCTCAGTGTCCAGTTACAAGGCTGTTTCCATTCTTAGCCACCTCACAGCAGCCTGGAATATGGAGCCCCAGCCAGTAGCAAAGTGAGACCAAATTAACTCAAGGGCAAGCAAGGGTAATGCTGACACACACCACGCTGCTGAGATTGCCCTCAAAACAGGGGAGCCCATCAGAAAGGCATAGCCCACCCACCACACACTGCACAGGGGTCTGTGGAGGGGGGCCGTGCAGCGGCATGGGGTCCCTGTCCCATGCAGGGAGGGAGTGGGCACCTGGGCCAAGATCCCAGAATTCTGAAGTGCACCAACGCTAGCCCGACACAACCACATTGTCCTGGGGAGGAAAGAGCAAGGACCACCCCACACACCCCACTCCGTGATGCAGCCCATCCCTTGCCAGGCTGCAGAACTTGGGTTTCCAGCAACTGCCTTGCCTCAGTGAGACTCCCACTGCTGAGATCTCCCCAGAGTCACTGACTACCAAGTGACCCCCGGGCAAGGGCATTCAGGCTCTGACTAAGCATGTTGCCTACCTACAGCCTGGGAAGAACTAAACAGATGTATCAAAGCCTCCTTGATGCCTGCTCATGTACAACACTGATGGCACAAAGAACACCCCCCATGCCCAGTGGCTGCAGGACAGACCTGCTGCATTGTGGCAACTGTTCCCAAGGAACAGGAACACAGGAAGCTGCATGCTGCTATTCAAACCAGCCCCTCTACTCCTCCAAGTACCCTGGGTTCTCTTCCTGCACAGAAGCTCTGCCCAGTCCTTTCTAAGTGCTCTAACAACCCCTCACATAGGTAGAGTGCCAGCTTCAGGCAGCATCAGTTGTAGGGGTTAACCCTCCCCCAAATCAGGAAGACTTGAAACAGTCCCTCTATTATGCATGCACAGCATCAGGGAGCTAGCTGACAAAGGCAGGGCAGAGGCAAGGAAAGGGAACCCCAGAATGCACAGTACACAAACCCTTACAGTTTCCACTGGGTGCAAAACAGCAGGGAATAGGGAGGTGTCTTACCTGCAGTCCCCAGGAGCAGCAGAGACACCACACAGCAGCACAGCAGGCTCAGGCCCCTCATGGTGGCTGCCAGGAGCTCTTTGCTACTCTGCGCCTCTATTTATACAGCAACAGGGAGAAGGGTATGGGTCACAGTCACTAGGGCAACTGGGCAGCAGCCCAGCCCTGCGCAGATGATGCCTGCCACCTGGCTTCCTGCTCCTCCTACAGCTATGAGGGGCCCCTTCCCTCAATCTGGGCTTAGGCAATAAGTGTGTCCCTTTCCCGTTTAGAGCTCAGGAACTGAGAAGCTCCCACCCTCCACCCCCTGTCATTCAGCTCTGTCAATAACAGACAAGGTGTTGATGTCCTGGAGGTGACAGCCGCTGTAGGAAGAGGGCTGGGGAGAGAAGGAACTACAGGTCTACACCCTTTAACTGCAGTTCTTATATGGCAGTGCTCAGCACTGCATAGAGGGCACCTGGAAGAGGTGCATAGAGAACAGACAGTGTGTGCCTGAGTGCATGCCACAGACATGTACAGTGCTGAGTAAGGGTGGCAGTGAGTCCCTGGGGATTGGGTCATATGGGCTGAATTAGCCTTGTCCAGCCAGACACACAAGAGCGGTCAGAATTGATGGGGGACAAATCAGAAAACACTGGGCACTGGGGCAGCCCTGGGAGCTGAGCATCATGTTCCACTGTTGGAGACAGGCTGGCCAAGCTCAGGGGCTACTGGGCACAAGCCAGTCAGCACCCCTTCCTTCTCCCCCACCCCCACAACAGCAGCCCACATGCCACTGCCAACAGCACGCTGCCCCCAGCCCACCTTTCTAAGAAGCCCAGAAGGCGTGAACATCTCCTGGCTGCCATCGCTGCTGATCCCAGCCCCACGGTACTGGCAGGAATACATGCACACAGTTCTAACCCCAGTCCCAATCCCAGTCTACCCCATGCCCTCTCTGGACTCAAGCTGGTGGAGTGGACCAGCTCCAGACCAGCCAAACCCACACACACAGTCCCACCCCGTGCCTGCTCCAGATTCACCTGCTCAAACTGAGCAGCAGCAGCAGTGGAGACCACTGGGCAGAAACTGCTGCTCAACATGGGAGAAAAGTGGTCCCACCCCTTTGCTGCTTCTGGGGGGCTTCTTGCTGCAGCTTCCCAGAGCCCATGCCCATGCTGCCCTGCCACTTCTCTCTGCTGCTGTCGACACCATCTCTCTGCTGCCCAGCAGGGCAGTGGTGGCAGTGCAGAGGAACAGCTGGACAGCCCAAACTCGAGCTCTGGGTGGCTGCAGCAAGAAGGGTCTGGCAGCAGTGAAAGTGGGGGGCAGGGCACTTTTCCCCTCCGCTGAGCAGCAGCTTATGCCTGGCCACCATTGCTGCTGCCGCTCCG